TGAGAATCTTTGTTTTCTTGATATTGAGCTTCAGTCCATACTGAAGACTGCAGTCCTTGACCTTTTGCAGCAAGCACTTCAGTTCCTCCTCAGTTTCAGTGAGCAGGGTTGTGTAATCTGCATAATGCAGGTTGTTGATGATTCTTCCACCAATCCTGATGCCACATTCAGGCAATCAGCAACAACAACAGTTTATGGAAGGATCTGTTCTGGAAAACAATGTATTAAAATTTTGTAAATAACTAGTGTAGTAACTATCATTTGTTCAGTGTTTTCAATGAGTAAATAATTAATTGAATGCTAACAAAATAACTGGGAAGTACTTTATCTTAGTTTATAAAAGGAAGGCCTTTGAGAATCATAGGATTCAATAGCATGACAAAGTTTATATTAAACTGCAAAATGAAGACTCTTAAAAAAAAGTTGCAAATAGAGATACCATTTGACACAGCAATTCTATTACTAGGAATATACCGCAAAGAGACCATAACTGACATCTAAGCAGATATATGCACACCCATGTTTATTGCTGCTTTGTTCACAATAGCAAGGAGCTGGAAACAACCTAAGTGCCCATCAACAAACAAATGGATAGAGAAGCTGTGGTATACTCACACAATTGAATACTATGTTGCATTGAAAAGCAAGGGAACTGAAAAAAAAAAAAAGAAAAGCAAGGAACTCATCCAATATTATTCAAAATGGGGGACCCTAGAGAACATTATGCTGAGTGAAGTATCTTGGTCACAAAAGGACAAATACTGCATGGTGCCACTGTTGTAAAACAGTACTGACATTGGGTTTGGGGGGAGACTGAGAAAGATGGGATAAATTATGTATACTGCATTGAAACAGATGAAGGAGAAAACTGTTTAAAGGGGATATGTGATTAGGTATTTCTGTCATGACGGGAGTCCAGAGCGAAGGCTATATAGTGGAGTGGACCTGGAGGGAGGGATTGTAAAACAGTGAAAACATTTTTCTTTTACTTTTCCAAGAGGATAGTGTCCTGGGAGGAGGGGTTGGGAGGGGAGAAAAGTGCAACAATGAATGAATGGAAATCTAAAGTCTCTGTAAATTTTCATTGGAAATAAAAAATTTTAAATAAAGAGAGAGAGATGGGGTGGAGGATTGGTGAAAGGGAGGCAGGGGAAAGGGAGGGGTGGCTCATGGCCATTTCCTTTGGCTTGTTTAAGAAAGTTATTCAACAACTGAAACCTTGTATTCTAATACCCTGATAGGGAATGATCTGGTTACAGGATAGTTTCAGGACTTCGAGTACATATGCTGTGTTAGTTGCTTTTAAGTCAGGCCCTTGGCTCATCAGGACTCCATACATAACAAAACGAAATGCTGCTTGGCCTTGTGCTATCCTTATGATTAGTTGGGAATCACCCTTGTGAATGTTTGGGGAACAGACTATTATAATCCACAAGATTTTCACTCTCCAAAAATAATTTTGAAAGTAGAGTGTTAGGCCTTTTTTTCATCTTAGTTTGGAAACCTACCTGAACCCGAAATCTGTTCAGCATTGTAGCAACCTGCAAGTCTGTTGAGTCAGTGGAAGGTGAAAATTTTATGACTGGGCTATCACAGTCCCTCACCCATACAAGCAGGGCTGGAGCCCAGACTTGGAGTCATATCCATCTGGACTTCAGTCTTGGATTCCACTCTTAGTAGATGTGAATTTGAGTAAGCTCTCTGAATCTGTAAAATGGAGGCTGTAACTCCTGCCCTGCTTGCTTCATCAGGTTGTTCTGGACGTGATGTGGTAGAAAGTGGGATCACTGGCTCAGTTGTGGATAGAGTCTATCTTTGTTGTTAGGCCTGTGAATTCAGGATGATGTTGACTCTTGGGCAGCACTGCCTATGCCTTCTAGCCTGTGAAAGGAAGGCCCAGAGTTGCTTCCTAATCTTCAGAGTATTCCTCTTTCACACACAGAGCAGCTGGGCCAGCCCCGTGTTACCCTCAGCTCCAGGATGGGTGAAAATCAACACTGTACCTTCATCCTGACCTGTGTAGCAGAAAGCAGAGGAGACCCTGTGACCTACAGCTGGGCACCCCTGGGGCCCTGGACTGTCGTGTCCCATGGAGGGTCTGTCCTCAGTGTCTCCCTGAGGCCTGGCCACCATGCTCTGATGTTCACCTGTACAGTCAAGAATCCAGTCAGTAGTAGCAGCTCCCTCCCAGTCTCACTGCCAGACTTCTGTGCAGGTAATTGACTCCTCAGGCTCCTTAGAACTTGGGCACATCCCAGGCATGGGTAGCTCTGGAATGGAAGGAGAAAGGAGATAAAGAGGAGCCTGAAGGGAGAGGACTTGAGGGTGTGGGCTGGACCAGGGGTGGGGCTTGGGGTGGTGTCAGCCCACACAGCAGATAGCCCTGGGGGAAGGGTTTATGGGGAGGTTGGAGGGAGACTGACTAGCTTTAAGGGTTGGGCAGGAGCCTGAAGGCACTATCCCTCTGAAGGCATTAGAGTGACACTGGGTGACTACTATCAGCCTGAAGAGTGGCATAGAGTGAATACTATCAGCCTGAAGGCACCAGAGTGAATAGAGTGATGACACTGAGTCTGGATTCTCCTCTTTGTCTACAGGGTCAGGAACCACTGTGGGGAAGACAGTGATTGGCACCCTTGGGGAGTCAGCCATTCTGCCCCTGGAGGTCCCAGTGGGGCAGGAACTAGAAAATGTCACATGGAGCTCTCAAGGGCTTCTTGCTATCTTGAGACCAGGACCAACTGGCAAACCAGTCCTGGTTGCTGAGACTCAGGGACCCTACGCCAGACGACTGAGCGTCTCCCTCCCCGACTACTCTCTTCAGATCAGCCCTCTGAGGCTGCAAGACTCTGGGCTCTACAACGCACAGATAACTCTGCGTACTCCTCCAATGAACATCATCAAGGATTTCACCCTCCATGTCTATGGTAAGGTTGAGGAGAAGGCCCCACAGTTTAAATTAACCTTTCTTTGTCCTTCTTTGGTCAGATCAAATCCTTCTGAAACCATGAGCTTTTCCTTCTTGGCACAGAGAAGCTGCAGGAGCCCAATATCACCACCAGCTCACAGATCATGAACAATGAGACCTGCTTCATCACCCTGGTCTGTTCTCTGGACCAGGCTGGAGAGGACGTTGAATATAGCTGGGACCCCTATGACCAGGGGACAGTTGTGTCCCATGGGGGGACCACTCTCAGAACCTCCTGGAAATCTGGGGACAGTCACAGCTACCGCTGCACCGTCAAGAACCCTGTTAGCCAGAGATCTCGCTCCATCCTGGCAAGGCCCCTCTGCTCAGGTAACTTCCTCTTCTATGACCCTTTTCCTCCTGGGTAGCCTATGATCAGATTCTCAGCACCTCTGCCTGCCTTTCTCAGATTCTAGGAGCAGTTGAAGAAAAGGGAGCATAAATGGGGTTAGTCTGCAGTAGGGAGTGCTTCTAAGGTGCTAGGTGATGAGGGATTTGAAGCTACCAACCAACAGCCTTCCTCAGCCATTTCTTCCATTTATCTCATTTTCTAACCTGTGGTCATTATTCATTCAGCCTCTTTCCTACCCTGCTCCCTAAGGAAAGAATTTCTTCTCTGTTTAATCCTGGGAACTCTGGAAATGAAATAGATTTGACTCTGACACATGAAGAAGCCGCAAGGAGGAATGGGAGAAGGCACCCTATGAAACACGGAGATAAAGAAGTCCTAGCAAATGGAGCATTAGCCAATGTCAGTGCCTCTGAGCGTGTATGAGAAATGGACATTGATATCAATGAAAGAATAAACTCTGCTTCATTTCTAAACTGAGTTCAAAACCATCAATAATTTTTAATATGTGATATACGTTCTGTTTAAAATAACTTCTTTATGTTTAAGTGTGTCTTAAGGTGCTCAGAAAGAAAAGGGTACCTATTTGTTTTAAAAATATGAAATGGTCTAAAACATATAAAAGATTAATAAACTGATTGTGTATATATTTTATTAATTTTTTAAATTAATGGGCTCAGTGATCTGCTTCAGCATACATATTATTCCTTAGAACAAACAGCCTTTTGACGGCCATATATAAGTAGATCTTCTGTTTAGTCATAATCACTGTGCTCAGTTCAATTTTGCCAAGGAACACAAATTTGTAATTATATATTTACTTCTTGACTGACGGCTTTTCCTGTTTCTTCCATAAGAACTTTCAGCTCCATGAGGGCAAGAATTGTTTTGGTTTTCTTAAAAACATCAAAAGGGTAACTTATCTGGAGAGAATGGGGAGAGATTAGCCAATAAGCAAGGTAGTTATGGTGGAAAACATGTCAAACTGTTCACTACAGATTAGGAAGTAAACACAAATAACCTTTCTTACTGACTACTCCATACCTTTGAGTGGTTAAAAAAATTTTAAAATGGGCTTTGAGTTTTCAGGAAAGTGTTATAGGGTTGAGAGACAGGTAGATGTCAACCATACCTAGAAGAAAAACCTTTGATGTGGTAAAAAAAAAAAAGTGAAATTACTCACTACAGATTAATAAGTAAGCACAAACAAATCTATGCTTAAGTTGTTTATTAAGTAATCCAACTCTGTGGTAGTATACCTGTTGCATAAATGAATGGATGACGAGGGTAGAGGACATTCTTTCCTTAAAATTTTAAGACTATAAGAAGTTTCATAAAGATCTGGAACTTCTATCATTGCATTTCCCTTTCTCTTTTCACCTTTAAATGAAGAATTAAAATATGGGGTCCATGGCATCCACTTCCTAAACAACATGCCTCTGGAAATGCTGTGAACTTTGATAAATGTCAATGGTATATTGGGGCTTCAGGTCTTTTGTTCATAGGGTCTCTATGAATTTTGCTTGACTTGAAAGCAATCAATAATAACAATAACATCTTCTGAAAGTTTCTTTGAAGGTTAAAGTTGAAATAAGGAAATAACTGATAGGAGATGTTGAATAGTAAGCTGCTCTGGAATTCTAAATAACTTGAACTAGGGTTTGAACCTGGCATGCAACATTTAAGCAGTTAAGGTTGGAGAATGGAACTCACTCACTCCTAAACTCAGAGGCTGATTCTGTAAAAAAATTACATCTAAGAAAACTTGTGGGTTAGCCTTACTCTGTTACATGTAGTCAGTATGAGCAGAAATTGACTCAGTGTCACTTTATCACACCAGTAGCATTTGAACAATGTACAGAAAACGGAACCAAATTTAGGTGATTACCCATGGGGGACAGGGATTGATAGAACTCCCAGATTAAATCAGACTAGAAAGCAGGATTGGCATCCACTTCTTAAATAAATAACAGGCCTTTGAAAATGCTATGAACACTAGAGGAACAAGGACAGTTACAGTAGTGTGATAGTAGAGCCCAGATTGGAAATCAGACGAAATGAGGAAAAACAATAACAAACACTATTTAATAATTGGGACATGGAATATATATAGCTTGAATGTTAGAAAACTGGAAATTGTTAAAAATGAAACAGAACTCATGAACATTGACATACTAGGCATTAATGAGATGAGATAGACCATCTTTGGCCACTTTGAACCAGATAATCACATGGTATACTATGCTGGGAAAGAAAAACAGAAGACTGGTGTTGCATTCATAGTCAGAAAGTCAATTTCAAGTTCTATTCTGAATGTGAGTGATAGGATAATATCCATACACATATAAAGAACACTTGTTAACATGATTATTACTCAAATATACACTCCTATATCTGGAGCCAAAGAGGAAGAAATTGAGAATTTTTACCAAATCTTGCAATCTGAAATGGACTGAAAATGCAATGAAGATGTGTTAATGATAATTTGTGACTGGAATGCAAAAGTGGGAAGCAATGAGGAAGGGCTAGTAGTTTGAAAATATGGGCTGGTGATAGGAATGAGGCTGGAAATAGAATGACTGAATTTTGTATTTACAATGATTTATTCATAGAAATGCCTTTTTAAAAAGACACAAACGATGACTTTAAACATGGATCTCACCTGATGAGCTACATAGGAATAAGGACTGGTCAATGGGAGATAGATGTGAAGGGAGTGGGTAGAAGTGGATGGGTATCCTGGTGAATGGTGGAGCAGGGAAATAAGTGGGTAAAGACACATGTTGCAAAGGCAGGGATAACACTGATACTAATGGTTAACTCCACAATAAGGGATATACCTTTCACTTTTTCTATAAAATGCTGGTCTTGAAAGACCCCAAACTAGGGCTTTTCCCAGACCGGCCGCGACCCTGAGCAACTCACACCAGGTCCACTTGATGTAAGCACAAGAGGCTTTATTGACGAAGCTTCGGGACGACTTTTATCTCAGAAGTGAGACAGGGAAGTCGACTCCGAGCCTCAAAAAGCAAGGGAATTTATACTAAGTCTAGGGGTTCTTTGGTATAGAGATAGCTCATTGGCTCTTTGGAAGAGGAGAAGTTCAATTTTAGGTCAGGTGCCTGCTGCTGACGTTAGTTAAAATATG